TACTCTAGATACCGACATAACACCTTTTCCAATGGCACTACTTCTCTTTATTGTATTTATCTGAATCGTACTTAACGTTGAAACGTTTCATGATTACGATTTTCAGGAAATATATCGAAAAAATAATAACCGCAGAAACAGTGAAATCTTTAAAGCATCTTCATGTGCTACAAGAGAAATTTTACTTGTTATTCGCCAGATGATTTTAACACTCAACATAAATAAACACTGGTGAGGGAAAGATTTACCACCGACAAGGGCGACAGTAATGACGAAATAACAAATGAAACTGTAGAGCCATCCATCGTACTTGGAACAATGGTGCTAACAATGACGACTTTGAACAGTTTGTCGTAGACGTAACAAAATTTGAAGTGAAGGTGAAGATATTAGAAAAATCATAGGTGCATTTTCAATACTTATTAGGTGTTTAAATAACCTAGGTTACTTTAGAAATATGTTTCGTGCATGTAACTTGAACTAGATTATGAAATATCATATACAAATAAACTGTAACGTCTTTCGTCAGTTCCAATAAGATAACACGTTTAATCTTAACCTTTTCGTCCACTCTTACCCCCCAGTGGCACAGCAGTATGTCTGCGGACTTACAACGCTAGAAACCGGGTTTCGATACCTGTGGTGGGCAGAGCACAGAGAGCTCATTGTGTTGCTCTGTGCTTAATTACAAACAAACAAAAAATCGTCCTCTCTTGTGTGTTTAATCATCAGCTTGAATATTTCCTTGTCGTCGTGACCTGTTTTCCCTCCCACAAAAAAGTTCCCCAGCCACCCTTTTTTTTTTTATTCCTCTGTAATTTCAGATTGCATGCTGTATGCGTTCGAAATTACTAGTGGAAACTAACTGATTGGTTGATGAACTTTCCGCCAGTCGGTTGGCACCCTCCTGAGTGTTGGCGCCACTGTCTTCAACAACTTCTGTGTGGGTGTTCCTCGCGACCCGAGTGGCAGCTGGTTGAATGTGATAAAATGCTAGTGCCGCTCTGGAAGCCTTCATTTAGAACGGGAGAATCGTACAGAGCTAGTCTTACATTCTTTGCGACGATTGTCACGGAAGAATTCCAGTGTTTACGAGTCTACTTGTTGACTTTTGCTGTTCCGTTGGTTATGTAAGAAAACTTCGCTGCATTGAAATTTAGCCATAATTTCAGTGTTCAGGATAAAAACACTCGCGAACGTATAAAATCTAGAACTGTATTAACTGAAAGTTTGCATTCGTTATCTGATCTTTCTTTTTTTAAATTTGTGTGTGTGTGCGTGAGTGAGACAGCTGAGTCGATAGACGAGAACTATTTACAATGACTGTCGATTCAACTTCTTTTATACGGGTCGTGGTTTTGGGAGCGAGAAAAGTTGGAAAATCTGGTAAGTGATAAAAATATGCCATATATACACGTATTTAAAATAGATTCTAAATTAAAATAATTTGTTTCATTGTGAAATAGAATTAAGTTAGACCTTTATACATTGTTTAAGATGGTTAGAATATTTTCTATCTGCTTGGATGTTTTTTTGCTCATATTGACAATTCTTATTTAATTTTAAAATACTAAATATCGCAGAAACATTTTTTGGGCACTTGTGCTGATTTTTTTGGACACTAGAATACTATTACTGTTAGTACTACCTCACCTCGACTATATAAACCAATTTTGATTACTACTAATTATTATGTAATTTTTAAAGTAAGCAGGTTACCAGTAACAACAACAACAGCTTCGTCTGTACTCTTAAAGACAAAGCAATACAAAATAAACTCAGAAATAATAATGTGTTGTATCTGGAAATGTAAATATGTTCACTGGTAGCTTCAGTGTTGCAATATATCCTGCTATAACGTGTTGTATCTGGAAATGTAAATATGTTCACTGGTAGCTTCAGTGTTGCAATATATCCTGCTATAACGTGTTGTATCTGGAAATGTAAATATGTTCACTGGTAGCTTCAGTGCTGCAATATATTTTGCTATAACGTGTTGTATCTGGAAATGTAAATATGTTCACTAGTAGCTTCAGTGTTGCAATATATCCTGCTATAACGTGTTGTATCTGGAAATGTAAATATGTTCACTGGTAGCTTCAGTGTTGCAATATATCCTACTATAACGTGTTGTATCTGGAAATGTAAATATGTTCACTGGTAGCTTCAGT